TTGTAAAAATAAATCTCCCGGGGTTCCTGCTATCCTTATCTCTAATATGGGATGTGAATCCCAATTGCTTTCAGGGTACAAATACAAACCCTATGAAAAAGCCCAGCAATGTTCCTGCCTGATGTTAAAGTCGTGGTGTGAAGATTGATTTTGCTTTCTACCATAAATATCAAAGCTGAATTTATATTTTCAGTCCTAGCCCGAATATCAAAAAAGTGAAGACTTTCTGGACTTTTCTAATTGGTTCAGGCTTACTTTCTATGGACTTAGCACATTTACCAATGTCTTCGTTATAGTGTATAAGTTAAATTATAATTATTCACGTGCCTGTATAGAAGGCGGGGTACATAAATGTAAGCTATGGAAGCTAACTATTGGTGATTAAGCAGAAAAAAGAAAGGAGTTTATTTATAGAATATTGCTCTTTCTTGAAGCTCTACTAAAAAGAATGAAATAATTTTTAAAAGATTTTATTTACTTACTTCTAGAGAAAGGGGAGGGGAAGGAGAAAGAGAGGGTGAGCAACATTGATGTGTGAACGGCTGCCTCTCGCGCGCCCCCTACTGGGGACCTGGCCCACAACCCAGGCATGTGCCCCGGCTGGGAATCTAACCCATGACCCTTTGGTTCACAGGATGGCTCTCAACCCACTAAGCCACATCAGACAGGGCAGAATTAAATAATTGTTGAATGAATAATTTCACAAATCCAAAGGAGTAAAAGAGAAGTTATCAATAAAATTTTGAAAGCCAGGGGCATTAAAAGAATGATCATTGAGTTATAAGACCCCAGAAATGTAAATTATAAGCCAGCATAGAGAGATTCAGTAAAACCCTCAGACATGCGGGCATATAATTTATTAGTCGTGACAGATTACCAAAATAATAAAATACACATGCTTCTGAAGGTCAAATGGATGGAATAATTTCAGGGCTTAGTCTAAGTCATTTAAGATAACATTATGACCATTGATTTTATTTTCATTGCAAATCCGTCATCAAAAAGAGTTCTGTGCTCGCTGTATACATAAACCCAACACCTCCTCAGCATTTTCACTGCAAGTTAGCCTTAAATAATGTACAGAACAAAACATATTAAAGTTGCAGTTGGATTTAATTATTTACTCTAACATTTTTGGCATGGCTATTACTCATTCCCCAGTGAGTTGCTATAGGAAAAACAATTTATAAGGCAATAAAAGAAAGTACTAGTAAGGGAAATTTCCAGTGTTCTCTTGCTGCAGTTGCCAAACTGTGCAGAACAGAACTGAACTTGTTATCTTTGAGAGATAATGAGAAGTATCTGCAAGCAATGTGAACGCATGGCGCTTTCAACCGCCATTTTCATTAGCAGGTGCTCCCCTCGTCAACGATGGTTCAATGGCCATTAATAGCCTGGCAGTCGTGTCTGATGGTATTCTCCTTCCCCAGCTTTTCCCCTTTGCTAGTTTCTTTCTGCCTTTGTGTTCTCCATGTAATGATTGCCTAGTGAGCTATCTAGTTTGGGGATCCAGTGCCATAGTAATTTGGAAGAAATAAATAGGCATCGGGAAAATACCCCCCTTTGAAGCAGGGATTACAATTTGGTTTGATCGTTCATTGAGAAGAACTTGGTCAGATTTAGAATAGCACGTGCTAACTCCACACAAGTGACTTTTTGACCTCGTTACTTCTTTCTATATAATGTGCCCTTTCAAGTAAACTTTATAGGGCAGTAGAGATCGGTCACCCTTGAATATCTCTAACCAATAAATTAGTCCATTCTCATAATAGACTTTGAGATGAATCTGTTACAGGTGCCAAGTCTCATCATTCAATCTATCTTGTCCTTTTTACCTGGTCCTTGTATCTGATACTCTCCCTGAGTGGGCTTTGGACTCCTGGCTAAAGCTGTGTGGAATGCATCATGCCTATTCTAGGTGACACAAAAGAGGTTGTTTAAAGTGGAATAAAACACAGAGCTAGAACCCATTAAAGGAAAACAGGGTTTACTATTAGCTGAGTACTTTAAACTTGAGTATTTACATATGTGACTGTGACAAAAATGTATTTTTCCTTCAAAAAGTATATACGTGTACTGTGTGCCTACTATACCATAAGCTGGGCAGAACCATAACAATGAATAACGCTGACGCAATCCCCCGGTCTCATAGTCGAATACACAATCCCTATTCATTGATGAATTCTATGAAAGGAGAAATAAAGAGTATGTATACGATGACGTTAACGAAGGGCATCTAACTCAAAGTTGGGGGACATCGGTCAAGGTATGCTTCCCAGACACTAAGAATAATGGATGTTAATTTATGAATTTAATTTACCAAGGGAAAGTCAGGAGGCATATGATGGCAGTGACATGTTCCAGGTGGAGATAACAAGCTGGAAAAAGTCTGTGTACTAACATAGGGACCACTTTAGGAGGAAATTCAGCATTGATGAAGGGTAGGATACAAGGGTTGAAAGACAACAGATACAGACTGTATCCTAAAAACAATGAAAAGATAGCCATGGGTTTTTGGGAAGGAAATCATGTGACATGTTCATGCTTTGGTAAGATGTCTCTAGAGATAATGTTATCTTCGACGGCCAAGAAGCATCGGCGAGTCCCCCGCCCCTGGCACCAAGGCGACACAGGGGGAGGGTCTTACACTGAACGCACCAAAAGCTAGAAAGACAATTGAGCAGGAAAAAACCCTCCCTTCCCCTATCCTCATGGGAACAGTGCGCTCGAGCAGAAAGGGGGATGGTCTTTGAGACGGGAGTCCACCACTCTCCCCGGTCGTGGCACCTGAATAAACCTCTTTCCTTTTGCACCAGCACCTGTCTTACACATTGGGCTTTCGTTGCAACAGGCAGCCAAACCTGTGTTTTGGTTACAATAATGTGGACTATGAATGGGAAAGGAACAAAACTTGGTATAATGCAGGTTATGATCTCTAAGAAGTAACGTTGTCAAGATGTGGTGAGTGTCTGGGTAGGAGGAAGAGAAATGATGTGCAAGTTTTCGGCTTGGGCACATGAGTTGGCAGTAACATCGTCAACTTAGATAGAAACCGCAGGTAGATGAGCAGTAAGAGAAGTTCTGAGCTTGACGTTGAGGAGTCTGCAAGACATACACACGATGGAATCCAGTGCATAGTCTAAAGCCCATGACGACAACTGGGTCGAAAATGAAGATATCCGGGTGGTACACAGATGGTAATGTACCTCTGGAATAAACAAAAATATGTGTACAGTCAGAAGAAAAAAAGGGTTTGAAACAGATCCTGGTGGAGACACCAAAATATAGAAAAAGCCAGAGGAGCAGATATACACAAAGGAGGCTGGACATGTGTGGCCAGAAGTCAAGAGAACTATCTAGAAAACAGGGGTAGCGACCTGGAAGTCAAAGGACGAGACAGGATCCGGCACAAATAACGCCCCTTGTTATTATAAAATCTTTTATTACAAAATCATAAGCATGTCATTCTGTAACCTAACACTGTCACGCTCAGGCACACCGTAGGACATTTTAGGGGAAATGTGCAAATGAAAACTATAAATTATTGCCCCCATAGTACGCCCCTACCAACCACACTCAGGCAGGCGTTACTCCTGCCGGACCCCAGTCTTTAAATTTTTAAAGAGAGAGCAGTCAGCAATGTCAAACGTTATAAAAAGGACAAGAAAGATAACACATGGGAAGGGACAATGTTAATAATCCCTCTATACATGTATGGTTATTCAGCCAGTGTTTTTTTTTTTTCATTTCCTTACACAACCACCATCTCCATTGTCTCTTTCTATTCCACTTGTCCCCTCAACACCCACCCTATAAAACAGCAGGACCGTTGTCCTGTCTGCAGACCCCCGGAAGCATCCTTCACTCCATAACGTTTCCCTCAAAGTCAACACATTTACCTAAAACACTCTTCCCCAGTCTCAACCTCCCATTTTTATACGTCAGAAAATTCACTTTTGAGTTTCTGGCTGAGGAACAAAATGAGCATAGGCCAGTATAAAAGATTTCACTGGAGTTTAAACGTGGTTGGCAGTTCAAAGGATTTGGGGCATAATTATATTCGTCCATCTTAACAATTTCTGAGGTAGTCAGCGCGATCAAGAAGATAGCTCCAAGTAGGGAAAACATTTTTTTAATCTTCACCTGAAGGTATGTTTTTATTGATTTCAGAGAGAGAGGAAAGGGGAGAGAGAGAGCAAATCATTGATATGAGAGAGAGAAACATCCATCAATTACTTCTCACGCACACTCCTGACTGGGAATCGAACCTGCAGCCTTTTGGTGTAAAGGACAACGCTCCAAACTACTGAGCCAGAAACATTTTGTTAAGCCAACATATTTTAGTATTCTGATACAACCCTAATTTTGACACAATTACATTTTAGGGTCTGTCCTCTGATATGTCACCTTTCTGAAACGCTGTACAAAACCTACATGTGTAACCCATGATAGTATTTTCAATAATTTTAACATTTTATGATCAACATAAGTCTTTCTGTATAACATAAAATCCCATGAGTATATTGAGGAGAAAAATAAAGATTGCATTTCAATAGTTTCCCCTTGGTTCTAGTGAATGAGAGTCTTGGGCAAAGATGTGTTATGAAAAAAATATTTGTATATTAACAAGAAACGGAGACTATAACACTAGAATCCACTTTGTGATACAGAATTCCCATGTAAGGCAAAGCTATATATATGAAATATATTGGAGGCTAATTTAAAATTTTAGAACAGTGTTTTATTCATGAAACAAAATATTCTCATGTATTTTTCTTATTAAGGTGTCCAGTTATATTTGCACATCTAGCTACATGCCAGACATTTATAATTTGATGATAGGACAGTTAGCGCAAACAGCAGAAAAGTTCTTTGCCGGTAAAAGTCACTTGCCAAAATGTAGGATTGAGTTTCCTAGTGAACGTGAATTAAATGCCCCAGCAAAGCATCTGTGATGCAGGTAAGGAAAGATTGAACAGATTTATTGCCAATGTAAATAAAATCAATCCCCTTTGACTGCTTTTACCTGAGTGTGTTTCTGTAGAAATTTAGAGGAAGCTGCAATAGCAAAGCCATGTTACCAGCCTTAAAAACATTGAAGTCATTAAGATCCCTTAAAATGGGTATAAGGAAAGAAATCCCCCTTGAGCCTCGGCGGGCGTCTTTTCTGTAAACTTTATTAAATATCTGAGCCTTATCTGACTCTGATAGGAATATGGACTGGAGATGTAGATGATAGAACGGGTATTGAAGTTTTGCCCTTAAAAATGTTGAGATGCCGTCCCGGCCAGGAGGCTCAGTTGATTGGAGCATCATGTCGTACACCAAAGAACTGTGAGTTTGATCCCCGGTGAGGGCGGGTACAAGAGGCAACTGATCAATGTTTCTCTCTCACGTCAATGTCTCTCTCTCTCTCTTTCTCTCTCAGTCTCTCTCTCTCCCTCCCTCCTTCTATCCAATCAATAAAATATCCTCAGGTAAGAATTTGTTTTTTAAAACTTGAGACACCCTTTCAGGAAGCCAAGACAGCCCTTCCCCAAAGACCTAGCTTATTCAGAAGAGTAAGAACTAAGTGAAGGCGGCATGAAACGTAGGGCCCTTCCAGAGAATTCTCATTACTCCTGTAAGGCCCAAAGAAATGATTATCATAGGACACACCCATTTCCATAACACTCGAATTTGATGATTAATGTAATTGGCATAACGTGGTTTTAAAAAGCTGTTGACGCCACTGGGACCCTTCTCGGTCTGCTCCTTCCCATTTTGCATCTCCTTTATGGGAGACCAGAACAGGACCTCCGTAGAAGTAGCAGGAACATGGAAGATACCTCAGAAACGATTCAGCTGTGTGTCTTCAGGAGACTATTATGCCTGGATATTTATTGAACACGTTTAACATTTTCCACTGACTTTTTCTATGATTGCAGTTGTCAGAAATTCACTGCGATCCCTTTTATTGTATTCTTCTTTCAGAAAGAGTCATTGGAAATGTTTTCAATCAAAACCAAGTAGGATGTCTGCCTGCCTGCCTGCCTGCCTTCCTTCCTTCCTTCCTTCCCTTTTGTCTAGTCTTGTTTTTAAAACCCAGCACAAATTAAATACAGGTTAATAAATAGCATGCAAGTAGTACTGGTTAGCATAAAACGAGTGTTTTGATTTGCCTAATATTCAATTATTCATCACAGGGTCTCTTGAAAAACAATGAGCGGGGGCTCTCTTTCTTCTTTCCCATATGCCGAGTACCCTGCTGTTGTCATGGATACCGCTTGCTGTGCTCACGGAGACCTGGACTCCCAGTTGTTTACAGAGAGAATGAGAGGCTGAAGCTCGATGTTACACAACACGGTGCTCTGTGTGTGTGAAAGCTCAGAGGGCAAACCTGAGAGGGGAGATCTGGGTCCCCGCCGGGTGTACTCTGAGAAGATGCAAAAGGCCACCATCCGTCCGTTGACTTTTCCCTGCATTTTTGGGCAAAAAGGGAGGAGAGGGAGGGAGGCCTATGTAGAGACTGATTGGGTGAAACAGGTCCATAGACCTAAACGCATCTGTTGCCGGAGGAAATGGGGCTCTTCCACGGTGTTGCAGGGAATGAGTTTCAGGGACACACACGGAGGAGGCTATGAGGGGCGGTGGCAAGATTTACTGGAGCGAGAACAAAGCACTGCCCGCAGGCACACCATGGCCGATGTCTCTTTCATGACCAGGTGGCTCAGCTCCATTGGTGGAAGGGGTCCAGCCTCTGGGGCCACAGGCCCCACCAAGCCCAGGAGGAGGGCCAGGACCCAGCGCTGCGGTGCCTTTAGCCTGGCACCTGAGACTCCATTGTCCAGCACAGTCTCTGTTTCCATCTGGCCAGCAACAGGCCCACATGGCTCGGCCCACATGGCTGGTGAAGGGACAGGGCGCGCTAAACGCCTCTGGTCTTTGTTAGGCTTTGAGTATATTTCCTTGAGCCTGGGCAAGAGCAGGCTTTCTTTCAAACTATCCGATCTCTTTCCTGGATCTTCCAGGAGCTGTGCTGGGGCCTCCTCTGTCCAATCCCTTTCCCCAAGTTTGTCTCCATCTTTTATGGTGGCCATTGTAGCTTCCATCGTGTATGTCTCAGCCCCGGAATTTCCCCCTCACTGCTATCCCTCCCCCCATTAATCTGGGGGTACAGCTGGTGGTTCCTGGGGAGGTTGGAAAGCCATCTTTCCTGCCTATGTGGGGATTAACATCCCTTTGGCTGTGAAGCGGCCACTCCCTAGCTAATCAGGCTTAATGTCTGATTCCATTTGCTCCCTTCCTTCGTTAATAACTGACGAACTACCATAGCAGATCCACGTAAGCAGGAAATCACAGAATAACCTGAGAATGTAAATACATACAGTCTATGAAACTCAGCCCTATTCACTTGACCAAACACGGTGTAAACCCCAACCACCTCGAGTTCCAAGACCTGGTTTTATCCATTTTAGAGCTTCCCAAATTACCTAGTAAAATACAGCACCCAGGAGGAAACCTGTAATAGTTTGTTAAATTAAATGTGTGCCTTTTTGCCAGCTTCTTTCATTCCTTTCACCAAACAATAAATGTCCATTGTACCAAGTGACTATAGGAGAGAATGATTTTCCAAAATAGCTCGCCAGCGGTGCTCTGGTCTCCACCAACAAAGTGGGCATTAGCGGCGGCACAGGTATGAACTAGTCTCGGCCCTCCTGTGGAACCAGAGTCTGAGCTCCATCCAGGGCTGGAAGGAAGGATGAGTGAGGGGGATTGGAACCGAGAGAGCAAGGGGACAAGGACTTAGAGCAATAGCTGCTGAAGATGCTTCCAAGTATTTTACCAACTGCTTCGGACATGCTGTCGCAGATGAGCTGAGGACCGATACCCACAGGGAACGAGGCAAGACCTCCCTACATTGCTTTGACATCATGAACATTAATGTTTACAGTAAGAAACGTGGCCCGGATACTACCCTATTTATAACAGGTCTCCTTGAAAGTTTGTTTCTGCGGGTTGCTGGGTGCCCAGGACGATTCCAGGGACTGAGGAAGCAGCAGTGAACGAAGCACCTTGAGGTTCCTCTGTCGTGGATGAGGTCACAGAGGAAATGGCCAGCACGAAGTCTAAGGAGGGACTTGAACCAGCAGGCAGGAACAGATGCGAAGCGTTTGCTTCCCCGGGACAGGCGCAGCTAAACATGACTGGGTGTCTAGGAAGGAGAGTAAACCAAACATTTTTCATTGCATTTATTGGGCTACCATTGGTTATAACATTGTGTAAGTTTCAGTGTCCAGTTCTACTACACATCGTCTGTATATTGCGTTGGGTGCCCACCGCCCAAAGTCAAGTCTCCTCTCGTCACCATAACCTTTGGCCTCCTTTACCCTCCTCATCCTCCCCACCCCGCTTCCCTCTGGCCACCACCATACTGTTCTCTGTGTCTATGAGCTTTCGTTCACTTGTTTTTCTTGCTTGTTCATTTATGGCTTTAAGTTTCACATTCCACATATGAGTGAAATCATATGGTTCTTAATTTTTCTGTCTGACTCGTTTCACTTAGCGTGATATTCTCAAGGCCCATCCATGTTGTCACAAATGGCAGGATTTCATCTTTTCTTGGGGCTGAGTAGTGTTCCATTGTATGTATTTGCCACATCTGCTTTATCCAGTCCTCGATCCAAAGCCTCTTAGGTTGTTCCCACGTCTTGGACACCAGGAAGAATGTTGCAATGAACATAGGGGTGGAGCTTCTCTCTTTCTTTTTTTAAGATTTTATTTCTTTAACCATAGAGGAGAAGGAAGGGAGAAAGAAAGGGAGAGAAATGTCAGTGCGTGGTTGCCTCTCGTGTGTCCCGCTGGGTTGTGGGCCAGGTCCCACAACCCAGCCATGTGCCCTGACTGAGAATCGAACCTGTGACCCTTTGGTTCTCAAGCTGGTGCTCAATCCACTGAGCCACACCAGCCAGGGCCGGAGCTTCTCTTTTAGCCCCGCCCCCGCCTACAGTTTCACTGGTGCTGGACCCGCCCTGAGCCAGTGGTTCCGGTCCTTGCCCTGCAGCTAAATACTTTGGTCCCTTAGGGGAGATGGTTCTGGGCAGAGCCCGTTCCTCTTTCACCTGCAATGAGATCCCCGGGAGCCCTTGGGTGGCTGCCATTATCCCACCCCCAGCCACTGTCACCTCTGAGCTTTCTTGAGACACCCCTGTTTTCCCCTGTGGGCAGCTGCTTTTCCTGGAAGAAAAGCCTCAGAAGGCGCTAACCCTCTGGTGTGCACCGAGCGGGCTTCGCATATTCTCACCAGCTCACACTCAGCCTCAGAGGTTTGTTCAAAATGCTTTGTTTACTCCGCTGGGGGTTAGGGGCGTCTGTCCGAGCTCAGCAAACACACAAGACCGGTTCCGCCTTGCTGGTTCCTGTCTCGCTTCGGATCTTGGGCTAATTATTTCCTCTGTGACGTCATCTTTCGAATAGATTCCAAAAAATTATTAATTTGAGGTTTTTCACGCTTTCTTGGGTTACGCGGGAGGAGCAACAATGCTATCTCCTGCTCTCTACCTCTCCAAACTGAAATCAGAAAACTCTAGGTCCTTTGAAACATCAGACGGGCAATTCAGGTTATACTGAAGACAGCTTATTAAGTCTAACATTTCTTAATATTACCTGATCCTCAGAGACCAAATATATATTAGTGCAGGGCATACTCATTTTTCCCATCTATCTTATGCTGAATGTTAAATTTTTTAAAATATTCACTTATGTGTTGAAACATACAGCCTACTTAGTATAATCAGAAATATTGCCAGGCAGTGATCAAAGGTTTCAGTTACATTTTCCAAATATATTCATCACGGCCCAGTCTAAATGCACCGCTCTTGAGTGACTGCGTGCAAACATTGAAGTCGTCTTTTTCCTCCTAGTCCTGCGGTAGATGTTGAGCTAACAGAAAAGCATGTGACTGTTTAAGAATTATGTTTTTAATTAGGAGGGAGCAAGGCTGCAAAGGATTCATGAGTCCAGCGTGCATGCTTATCAGGTTTAATCAAAATTTCCCAACTGCACCGGGTCTTATTACAGAATTAGATCGAAACTCTCCTGAGAAAATATTTTTATTGCAAGGTGGCAAATATCATTTTTTGTTCTATTTCT